CACGAGGTTGGTTCCCAATTCCCATGGCTTCTTCTTCTTCGTCTTCAACATCGAAGTTCAGTGTCCATCAGAACCCTTCTTTCTCGGCGGTTCTCACTTCCAACAGTCTTCAACCTTCCAATTTCACGATCCTCTCCATCCTCTCCTTCTTCTCCGCCTCTGCATTCGCTTTTCTCGCCATCATCTTCAGGTATACACTTTCTCTCTCACTCTCACATGCATTTTTTTTTTCTTTTCTTACGCAACTAACTATGTAACATTCGCACATTGCAGGGAAAACGGTTTCATCGACATTTTGAGCCTCGGATTTTTTTCCCCTGTCACAGCTTGTAAGTTCCAACCTCAAGTTTTATTTTATAATAATCAGGGTAATTTGTGATTTCTGATCTATTTATTGAACTTCAGATTGGCTTGCCAAGACGCTACAAGCTATAGTGGGTATTGTCTTCATTGGAACTGTTTCTGCACTTCTCAAAGTTGTGTTTATGCTTAGAGCTAGGAATGCTGGAGGTGTAGTTGCCGCCAAGCCCGTGTCAGATTCTATCAGTGTTAATAAAGCTGAGATTTCGCTCACCAAACATCAACTAGGGCTTTTAGGAGTGAAGTCAAAGGTTGAATTGGCTCAACCTGACTCGGCAAAGAAGCCCCCCAAGGCTAAACCCCAATTGCCTTCTTCAGATTTGCTTGTTCCTCTTCATCAGCCAATTCCCAGCCCTAGTCGAGGATCCTCGTCTCGCATTGATGCAGATGGGTCGAATTCTAACAGGGGTGTTGCTGCTCGCTCCATTGGCACTCCCTCAAGGTCGCCAGGTTCGTTGTATCTTTCTCCAGGTTTAGTTTCGCCACCGAGGAGTTCAATTGGAGTGGATACGGTGGTCTCGAGCCCTTGGTCCAATAGGCGAGCCTCCTCTGCTAGTAAGATAACATCAGAGGAAAAGCTGGAAAAGTTCTTATCTGAAGTGGATGAAAGGTTCAATGAGTCAGCAGGGAAGATGCCTACTCCGCCTCCCACGGTTCCTGGTTTTGGCATAGTGAGCCCTGGTACAGTTACAGGTTCGGGTAATACCTCTGGAACTGCAAGGCTTATGCCATTGAGGCCTGTGAGGATGTCTCCAGGTTCGCAAAAGTTTAAAACTCCTCCTAAGAAGGGTGAGGGTGACTTTCCTGCACCAATGTCCATGGAAGAATCTATTGAAGCTTTTGAACATCTCGGCATTTATCCTCAAATTGAACAGTGGCATGATCGACTCAGGCAATGGTTTTCTTCAGTTCTGCTCAACCCTTTGCTTAACAAGATTGAGACAAGTCACATTCAGGTTCATTTTGCCCTTCATTTCTTCCTTTATGTTTGAAGCAAGATTAAACAAACAAGAAAGATATCAACTGTGTGAAAGTCAATATGTCTTTTCAATGACAGACAAGGTAGTATTTGATGTGAAACTTTCATGGAGAGTTTTGGGACCTCTCATTTGTGTGCTCAGTTAACTGTATAGAGCTGGTTTTTTAGAGAATTAATTTGGGGTAAAGTTACTTTTTAGAGCGTGTTTATCTAAAGATGTTATAATAAGAATGAGTTTTGTTTGGTTAAGTAGGAATAATTACTTGTGGATTGGTATGTAATTACCAAGAAAAACGAGTATAAAGTATACTTTACATTATTTTACTAATATATTATGGATTATGGCTGGCAATACTACCGCAGAAGGTAGAACATTCAAAAAGTTTTTCTTTTGCTGCAAAACCAGTTCACTTAGTCTGCAGAGCGCAAAATAATGTTCGAATGAGCCACCCAGACTAAGCACCAGTAAAATATGCATTTCGGCACTGTGTCTAAACGAGCTCTTACTTGTAGTTAATTAAAGTTAAGCTCAAAACATGTCACATGATTGGTGCATTAACTAATTTAATTCATTTCCCCTGGCTCTAAGATTTTCTTATTCATAGGTTATGCAAGCAGCTGCTAAACTTGGTATTTCAATCACAATTAGTCAAGTGGGCAATGATATGCTGTCTTCTGGAACCCTTGCTGCTTTGCCAACAGTTGATAAGATTCAAGACTGGCAACCTGCCCTGACTCTCAATGAAGATGGATTACTTCATCAGTTACATTCTAGTCTTGTGCAGGCCATAGATTCTTCCAAATGTATGTTGCTTCACATTAATCACTAAATGTGATTTTTCAGTCCAATTTGATTATACTTGCCGAATGCTGATAGCTTCTGAGCTCTGACAAATTCCACTTGCTTTATATTTTGCACACAGCCAAGTTGTTTGTATCCAATATGCAACAGTCCCCACAGCAGGCTTCGCTAGTTCCTATCATGCAGGATTGTGTGGATGCTATCACTGAACACCAAAGGCTTCAAGCCTTGGTTAAAGGAGAGTGGGTTAAAGGTTTGCTACCTCAAAGCAGTGTTCGTGCTGATTACACTGTGCAAAGGATCCGAGGTAGACAGAATTATGGATATATTGCTTTTAATTGTCATTAACCTTCATCGTATTTCCTGGATCAATTGAAGATTAATATAAGATTGATTTCATGGCCAGCATACACCAATGTCATCTAACTATAGTTACCTTGTCTTAATTTTCAGAGCTTGCAGAAGGGACCTGCTTGAAGAATTACGAGTATCTTGGAAGCGGGGAGGTTTACGATATAAAGAATAAAAAGTGGACTCTTGAGCTGCCTTCTGATTCTCACTTGCTGTTGTATCTGTTCTGTGCTTTCCTAGAACATCCAAAGTGGATGTTACATGTGGATGCTATGTCTTATGCTGGAGCCCAGTCTGGGAAAAACCCATTATTCTTGGGAGTCCTTCCCCCTAAGGAAAGGTTTCCAGAGAAATACATTGCTGTACTGTCTGCTGTCCCTTCTGTGCTCCACCCAGGAGCATGTATACTAGCAGTTGGAAAGCAGGGTCCCCCGATATTTGCCTTGTACTGGGATAAGAAACTGCAGTTTTCTCTTCAGGTCGGTAATGCCTGTGTAGCCCCAAGTTATATGAACTTACATCAAATACTTTTGAGCCTTTTTTTATACTAATATTATCTAATCACTAATACTGTTTATTTTCTAATACGTACTTTGTACACATGATTCACCCATAGAGCTGTTATCAACCAGTACAGTGTTATTTATTTATTTATTTTTTAATTTTTAATTTTTTATATTGGTTTGCTAACAGTTCTTGATTTATGTCAGGGAAGAACGGCACTGTGGGATTCCATCTTGCTTCTGTGCCATAAGATCAAGGTTGGGTATGGAGGTGTTATTAGGGGCATGCATCTAGGTGCGTCAGCTTTAAGCATTCTCCCAGTTATGGAAGCAGATTCTGAAGATTAAGTTCTATATGATTGACAAATCACTTTGCTTCTATCAACATTCAGCATGCTGACTCAAACATCTGCAATAAATTGCATTTCTTGAAGTCAGGCATTGCAGAAAAGAATATGCTGGAGGTGGATCCCTCCTGATCGAGTGTTGGTTAGAATTACGCTGTATCCTGTATTCTAAAGGCCTTTACAATGCACGGCTCAATGATTTCACTGTATGTGGGACATTGCACTTTGTCAAAAATCAAATTTGGATACCTTATGACCAGAAGATTAACAGGTCTTTGTACCCTCCCTCCCCAAATGCAGTTAGCTATATACATATTTTTCCACTGGGGAAAACTTGTCCGGGACCATGTGACTTGGTTGAGAAAACTAAAACAACAGCAACTAAAGCAGAGCTTACTTAATTGTATTTATTTTTGTGTTTCTAAGTCATACTGAGTTATTGACCCCGTATTTTTTTTAACAAAAGTGACTTATTCAGTCACAATGCCTGAACAAATTGTAGTCCTAGTGGGTGGGTAGCTAGTGCATTTGTTTGCGTCAAATTATGCTTAACACGGGCTGAATTTTAACAGTTTTTTTTTTTTTAATTTTAATTTTTTTTTGCCTTGGGCGTATAACAATTGGGATAAAGTTTATAAAGGTATTTAGGTTTAAGTATAATGTTATTCTCTAATATACTTTTGGCTTAAATATATTTTTAGTCCTTTAAATATAGGGTAAATTTATTTTTGGTCCCTCAAATTTAAAATTGTATTTTTTAGTTCCTGTAATTTAAAAAAATCTTATGTTAGTTTTTATATTCAAATTTTATTAAAAAATTTATTAAACATTTTACATAAAATCTATTTATTACTGTCTTTATTAGTGAAAACATCACATTAAATCCGGTTGATATTGTATAACCATTTTAATTAGTCATTTTTAAATGTTATTTGTGACCTAAGGAACTAAACAAGATTTTTGAAAATTACAAGAACTAAAATTAACGATTTTTAAATTTGAGAGACTAAAAATAAATTTGTCTTAAATTTAAGGGACTAAAAATATATTTAAACATATACCTTTTATTATTTTAATTAGGGGTGAGTATGACTCAAGTTAATTCATTGACCCGACTGACTTGAAGTTGATTTGGATGGATTGAGACTTTAAGATTCATTCGTGTATATTAAAAATAAGTTTGAGTTACATTTTAGATCATTTAATCTAAATTGGCATAATATTCTCATAAAATATAACTATTTGGATTATGATACGTTAATATTAAAAATTTGGTAATACATTTTATAACATGTTATTATATTTATAATATAATTATTTATTTAAATATATATATATATTATAAATTATACTTTAATTTAAATTTTGTATTTTTTGTATTTTATTATTTAATTATACATAATATTAAAATTAATAGTATAATAAAGATGAATCAACTCAATTGTTCATATATATTTTTGGGTCTTGATTGAATCGGTTAAAATTTTAAAAAATAGTTGAGACAAGAATTTGGGTTGAGTTTGAACAAGGTTAAACGTGACCCAATCTGATCCATGCTTATCTCTAATTTTAATCCTTTTATTTTTATTTTAAATAACGTTATGTACTATTTTTTTAAGTTAGTTTCTTGTATTAACTGTTTACTGAGGTGACTAAAAACAGGTCTGTGCATGTCTTGACCAACTTATTACATGTCATTTTATGGATTTTGTTTTAGTCCTTTTAAATGTAATTCATTTTTATTTTAGTTTTGACTCCCTAACTCATGTTTCCCCTTTTCGTTTTAGTGCTTCTAAGTTCTAAATATATCCTATTTTTGGACTCCCTAATTCTCCTTTCCCTTCCTTTTTACTTTTCGGTGGCAGCTAGCTACTTTAAATTTGTGAACGATACACACCTAATCCTATCTCATGGCCTTCATCATAAACACCCAAACCCTGCTAGGCTGACGCTTGCTTTGGGTTTGGGTGCTTTTATGGTTTTGCGCATTAGAGTCACTTTTTTGGGTGTACAAAATGTCAAGTGGATGATAGTGGGGGATCATTGGTGCAAAGAATATTTGCTTTCTTAATGGTAATCATAATGGAAAGCTTTATCCTCTTGATCTTTTGTTGGTTTTGAAGGATTCTGCGGTAGAATGAGGGTTTCATCGGTTGTGTTGAACCACATCCAATGGCTATAACAAATGTCCATCCCTTGTGAATGAAAGACTTGGAAGAGACAATATCCACCTCAGTGATCCATTGAAAGATAACATTGGTGCAAGAAAAGAAGTTTAAAAACACATTGTATAAAGTAAGATGGATTGGTAATGAGGCTGAAGTAATCTTGTGTGTATACTTTTAAAAAAATTGCCCAGATTAAAAATATACTTGTACCAGATATTTATTCATACGTGCCTCAAATGTGTCCCTGTATTTTATTAGCTTATCCTTCTTCCTTACTGAATTATATGATTTAAATTTAAGAATATAGTTGTTATCAACAAGTGACCAGAATATGGCAATGGTGGCCATAACCAAACCATATTCCTGCAGCGTCTAGTCAATATTGTTTTATATATTACCTGTCAACCTATATCAGCCAGACGAGCTTAAAATAATTGTCGATGATAATAGGCCAATACGTAAAATGGCTCTTATCAATTATGCAAAAAAGAATAATGAAGGGCTCAGCTGGAATAAAACCCGTCCAGTGGAGGGTCATTTTATGACTAAATATTTGAAATAAAGATTACCGTCCAGCTATTATGAAAATGGGCACTCGGCCACAATCATGAGGAATGATACTGGAAGCCAAACATAATATCCTAGAAAAACAATGTGTTTGATTTCACTGTTGAATCTGATGGCTAAACATTTACAGGTTATTGCTCTCACCAGAGACAAAAATGTAGATATAACGTCCCACCAAATTTGAAAGTTTGAACTACCAGATTTGAATGATCAACTATACAATAAACCAGCACTATACCCCCAGCACACCCTCATTGAAAATTGACGAGAATAGACGCAATATCAAGCACAAAGAATCATTACGTTGCCAATAGGGTAGCTGCAAGCATTTGGGCAGGGGTAATTTGTAGATCTGTTCCACCAGAGATGCCACAGACCACATTAAGTATAAACTGCCATTGCATGAGGCCCAAAAATGCCTCTCAACTTTCTTCAATTTCTAAATGCAAAATCTGGTGCTAAGATGAGTACCTAAAGTTCTTGAGAGACAAGGTCTGACCTTTACTCTGAATCTGAATCAATAGAAAGGTACAAGCGGGGCCTTACGGAACGTCTTTGGCGAGGAAATGAGAAGGGGCTATCTGATCTTGGCCTACTTGCCTTGTCAGGTCTAACATCATTCATCCCAAGGAGTAAAGAAGCTGCAAATAGAGGAATGACTAATCAAGAAAAATAATGGAAAAATAAAATGTCAAAACTACATTAATGGTCACTAAGTCAAAAGTCAATGCAATTATCTGTGATAGAGAGCAGAAAAGGGGAACCAAACACAATGAGGAAGGTGGGAGAATGTAGGAAGATGCAAAATGCATATAAAGAACACTACCTCAAGTTTTGTTTTAAGGTTAACATCCTCCACATTTTTGAGTGATACAAATAACCATTTATACTTTCTATGCAACAAATTATGGGCATTTGGGTGATTTTAGGAATAGTGTTCTAAAATTTTTTTTTCCTGACACAAGGGTATGATGCAGCAACAGATTAACAGAGCCATATAGAGTATCTCGACAAATCCACAACTAAACATTTGAAGGTTTCTAACCATTTAACAGAAGGTATAGCAGTGCCCGATGCAAAGAAACTGAATACCCAGCTTCCAATCCTCCTTCATAGCCCCTCTCAAATAAACTTGATATGAAGCTTAAGAGTGTACTAAAAATCACGCATGAAAGAATTAAAAACTCTCCATCTCAAAAGACTTGCAAACAAAATGCAGTGATAGCAGAGACAGGTGATCAAGAAAAGATACCAACAAAATTTTAAGAATGCTTACATTTCCACAATATGTAGAAAAACGTAAAATGGTTGTTTTGTTCGCTTGAAAATGTTAGGAGAATACTTACTACTATCCGCTATAAACTAAAAAAAATGGAGCTGAAAAAAAAAACCAAAAAAAAAATGAATTGTATATTATCCATGTTTTGAAAACCCAACCAAATCAAAATTTTATGAACATATATTTCAAAAATAATATTATACCTAAATTCCTATATTAACAATATTTATGAACTTTTGTATTATACTCCAATCCAAACTTAATTTTCCTTTTGGGATTTTGGTATTATTGACAATTAATTCGGCTTTATATTTAGGATTTAGATTTAGTATTTTTTCTGTATTTTGAAGAATTAGTGGAAAACATGTATTTGATGTATTCTGACAAAAATTTGACTTTTACATTTGATGAATTTCTATAATAAAAAAATTACAACAAATCAATTCAGATTGGTTTTGATTTACATTTTGAACCAAACCAATTGGATGATATAATAAGAAAACCAATTAGATTAGATCACTTGTCTTTTTCGGCTTTGCCTCCAAACCAGACAAATCTGGTCCAATCCAATCCTAAGCATCCTTTGTAAATATGGGTTGGGTTTAATCGACACTCTTATGAAGAAAACTCCAGCACCATTCTCCAATTATTTATTTTATCTCTTGTAGTGGTTTAAGAAAACATAATTTAACAAAGCAAGAGAATAGAAAACTCTATCTAAGAGTGAATATATGAAGACAGATAAACTAACTGAAAACTCTTTAAATTAAGATATATAAATAATAGATTTCTTTACAAAATAAAAATTTGTATTTCAGTAACCAAGATTTTGTTGACGCATGCCCTTAGGACCCAGGTAATGGATCATAATAGAAACTATTACATGACAAATATATGCATTTAGTATCTAGAAGATTCAAAAAGCATCAAGAAGTTTGTTCTTTTAAGTAATTAGAAAGTGTAATAAATGTTCCTTCGGGTGTCCTAAAACTCAATTGCTAATGCCATGATGATCTATTTTTGTAGAGCATGTTATTTATCAAGATACTTTATATATATATATTTTTATTATAAGATCAGTTAAATTACACCTATCTAAACTAAAATGTATTTCTTCATTAAGATGTATTACATACATAAAAAGTAGACACTTTATTTTATAAAAAATCTGTTAATCTAATTTTACTTTTATTAATTTAAAGAATTTAGTCCATTTCTCTTCATTAAATATATTTTATTATTCTCTCCATTGAAAAAATGCTCCACTTCCCAGAACATCACACTAAACTGCATATTGCCATGTACTAAAAAGGAGTTTCCCACAAAAGTAAAATGCACTAAAAAATTAGGAAAATTTCTGATTCAGCAAGGTCAGAGAGTAACAAACCAGTTTCATCCAAAGTATTTGTGGCATCTTCTCTGGTTGGGATTTGATGTCTAGAGTTCAACCCATTTTGAGTGGAAGCATCACCATTGCTACCAGAAGCACCACCTCCAAGACTAAGGGATATCCAGTCCTCAGTGCAGACACCATTAGCCACATTCGCCTGATCTCTCAATTCATTCTGCATGGATGAATCTGCTGGTCTGGTAGGAAGAAATATCTGAAGTGAGGGATCATCTCCACCAAATGCCAATGGATTGTCAACTAGACCACCATTCAAATCAGCATCCGAACGACCAGCAGAGGAATCTTGCAAGATACTAGCGGATCCCAAAGCAGTATCGGGAGCCAATGCATAACCATTTAGTGATGAGGAACAATTAATAGGACCATGCTGCAGATGGACCAATGTATCAGGCACATCTGCATCAGAACCAAACAATTGGAATCCAGGACCAGCCTGAGTTCCAGAAGGCAATGACCACAGAGAAGGCATCCCAAAATCATCATCATTATGAAAGAGTCCTAAGCATGAATTTCCACCAAGATTATGATCTTCAGCATATGAATCAACAATTACAGGTGGTGGTACAGAGTAACCATCTGTAGCATCATTTTGGTTATTATTGTCTTCATCAGAATCACTAAGGACAATAACTTCTGCACCACCCACCTGAGCAGAAGTGTTGTGTGCAGTAAATTCACATGCTAAACCAACATTATTGAGACACAGAGAATCCATCTCCATCCCATTCAGAGAGGAATAGTCGATATGCCCCCCACCACCCTGATTTACACTAGGATCATCACCATCCCGGCCACTTCCTGTGGCACTGCTGCTCATTGGAATAACAACATGTTCGGGATTTCCAAAAAGCCCTTTCAATTTATTACCAGAGGAGGTGTTTGTGCCCTCAGGTTTACTGACTTCCCAAACTCCATTGCGATTCTTCCTGATGCCAAGTTTTAAACCAGTAGGACTGTCTGAAATACCTTCCTGTTTGACCTGCTTCAATGTATCCACTCTCTTGACATCTCCATCAGTTGAAACACACAGAGATCCATCTGGGAGGTGCCACTGTGCTAGATTTCCTAATTCCTGGCGTTCACTTTCACTCTTTACCTTAACACGCCAAGAACCATCAGGCTTTACCTCAACCTCTGCAATTTCTTCACCACAATTCATCATCTGTACCAACAATGCAATTTAAATAATGACAACAGATTGTCAAATAGAAATTTATGAACATTAGAAATTATTAATAATTTTTTAAATAACTACCATAGAAGTGATGCGATTGAAATAAGGGTCAATGATGATATTCTCCAAAGCATAGTTTTTGAGACATATAGGACATTGCCACTGCAGAAACATTTCAATTCATCATCAGAAAAAAAATCACAAAGAGGGGAAGCGGACAAATCATGCACCATTTGTTGGAATCCTACCTTCCTTGATCGCTGATTCATCTCCACAAAAACTTCAAGATCAAAGCAGCCCATGTGAATACAGGGTTTGAATCTTCCAGCAACCTTCATTCTCGAACCACTCATCTAAAAGTTTCACCAAATATAAAAACACTTAGTAGGACTTCATGAATTGCTAAAATAATTCATCTATTGATGAAAGCCTTACAGGACAACGAAGGTTGATAGTGAAAGTATCTGAAACCACTTCCAAATCACTATCACTATCGGCATCATCAGCTGCATTTCCGCCCCCCACACAACGGCAGACACGTGCAAGAGCATCTTCAAATTGCTCACCATCAGATTCCCTTGGAATTAAGTTTAGGATCTAGATAACAAAAACTCAACTATTTAACAAACTTATAACAGTAATGGAAGGGAAGCAACTGTTGTAAACATTCACAACAAAAGTAGCAACAAAAATGTAAGACCAACATCAAATAACAGTTTGGCGGTTGGTTCAACAGTTGACAATCGGGCTTCTCATCTGTAATAACCAAAACTGGATTGAGAGTTGAACCAGACACGACCAATTAAAACCAGCAAATTTGGTCAAAATCCAAACCAGATCTAGTTATTATTATGTGAAAAAATTCAACATTCCTTATTTAAAAAAAAGTCTCATAAGCCAGACAACTTAAGCAAAAATACTGCTCAAGAAAAAATGAGAATATTTTAACTTACTTTAGAATAAAAGCATCACTTTATGAGGCCCATACCTGTGCTTTCCAATTTATAATGGCTGAACAAACATCTTCATGAAAGATAATAAAAAAGCATGACAAATTATTTCAAATTTCTAATTTTTAATAAATCAACCATAAAAAACCAACATTAGGAACATTGGCCAAACTTCAAACAGGGAGATACTTCAAACTTTACTATTCCAATGCCACAAGGCTGGATTAAGGAACCAACAGTAATTTAAAATAGTTTGCTTGTAAATTTATCAAGCTTTGAATGCAATCTACCTGCTGCATACTGCGCTTTCGAACAATACGAACCCCTAAACAAAAAATGCGAGCATCACTTCCTGTTAAGGAAATCTTATTAATTCCGTCTTTTGTATATGGCGTGATCTGACAAAATAGAAGTACAGTAAGAAATTTAATAAAACCAATTCAAATAGTAAATGAACACATGTCTAACAATTTTAAATAGTTTGACAAGTCATAAATAAGTCAATAAATGAGAATAAACTTACAATTGGACCGTCATCCCGACCATTAGCACCAAGCAATTGGGAACCAGGTCTGTTAGTTGCACGAACGGGAACACCTATATAAGCATAATCAAACCAATGAGAACAAATTTCAAAGACAGTCACAAGACAATCATTGCAAACATATTTGGTGTTTTACTTTAAAATGACATGCTCCTAGTTGCATAACATACCATGGAAATTAAAACTAGACAGCCAACAAGAAACCTATTTCCAAATTAGCAAGGAACACATGACTTAAAACATACCATTGACCTGCAGGTCTGCATACAGTGGCCACTGCATCCTGAATGGAACCTTGTCGTTCAGAAGCATACACCAAGCCTAAACACAATTTTTTCAATAAATAAGCAAACCAACACAACAAAGGATATGCATTAATCTACATCCACTGAAAATCCAAACAAACCTCAACATCAAATTCTGGTTTTGAAACCAAGTCTTTGTCTGCTCTAGTAAGTTGAAATGTTCTCTCGACACTCTGAACTGGGTTGTTTCTGAACAATTCAAATGAGAACATGGTTAAGCCATTCAAGCAGAAGCCACATTTGAAATTAGGTTCTAAACATTATTTACACATGGTCATTAGATCGTGTTTTTGGATAGAAAATGAAGTCTACTAGCCTAGCTCCACTGAATAAAGATTACAATCCCTGCAAATAGCATAAAATAACCATATACATAACAAAAAGGCAATAAAAAATACTACCATCCAGTAAAGGAACTTTCACGCGTGCTTAAAAGGTATCCAGAAAATCCCCAACGCCCCCCCCCAAAAAAAAAAAAGCTAGCATTCAAGCCAGAATGAAGGAACTTTTAGTCTCTTACATGGAAACAAGGCAACAAGAAAAAAAAAAAAAAATCTAAATTCCAAGACATATACAAGACATTTATAAAGAGACAAATGAACCCAAACCCAATTACACTAGGTACTCACTCACCCATCAGTTGGGTTGCTGGTTGTAGTCAACTTCACAGGATGCAAAGGGTGTGCCACTGAAACCCAAAATCTGTGACAGAGCAAAAAGCAGTAGATAAAAAGTTTATTAGCAAAAAAATGCTAAAAAATAGAATGCAAAGATTATACCAGTCACTTGTGAGAGAATATAACAAACAAAATGAGAGAAGAGCCGTTCAATAAAACTCAGCACAAAGAAAAAAGAACTAAATAGTTAAAGTGAAAGGAAATATATAACTCAAATGCATCTTCGTGAGTCAGAAACTCACCATAATGAGTATCACTAGACATAACTAAAAGACTAGGTACATGTTTGGATATGAGTGATGTTGGGGAAAAAGGTTTTTAAAAGCTAAAAAGCTATGTATTTAAATCTAGAATGATAAATAAATTTACGATAAACGAAACATATTCTATGATTAATTACTAGTGAAAAGCAGGCACTTAGTGCCTCTCTATAGACAGTTTCATTAAGGAGATAAAATAAGAAATGAGAAGTACAATTATTTTGAAATAAGATCTTATATGCAGATAGTGGGGTAGTTTATGCAATTAAAACATAATATATGCAATTTTTATGTGTAGTTTATAATGTTATTGGGTAAAAATAGTCTAAAAATGTCGAGACAGATAGTGGATATCACCATTCCAATATTTATAGATGAGAAGTAGAATTATTTTGAAATAAGATTTTATATGTAGATGGTGGGGTGGTTTTTTTTATATGAAATTAAAACATACTAGATGCAATTTTTATATGTAGTTTATAATGTTAAGGGCTAAAATAGTCTAAAAATGTGGAGATGGAAAGTGGATATCGCCATTTCAATATTTATAGATTTAGAATTTATAGATTATATAACATAACTTACTGAAATAATTTTTTTTTTCACAAATAGTGCAAGCACACTAAGATATATATGGCCAACTTGTTTAAAATTTTAAAAAATAATGTTTCTAAAAAAGTAATTTTTTTAAAAACAATTCTTTAAGATGTAGATAGGAATAAAAGCAAAAAAATTTTCTCTTTATAAAAGAGAGTTTAGACAAACATATAAAAAAATTACATAAGTGCTTATTTTCATTAAAAAAAAACACTTTTTTTTAAGAAAAAAAGTTCAAACAAAAGGGTCCATGGACAAATTCATCAACTCCACAACTATTATTGGACAACATCAAGTAATCATCATATTGAAAAATAAAAATTACAATATCGCAATGTCATATATTACAATGCCCAGTTCACTGTACCAACCACCAACAGAGAATTGTAGCAGAGAAATTGTAAATTATAAGCAAATAATTCAACCAAAAAACCCTAGAAGAAAAAATGCACACTAAAACCCTTTAACATATTTTTTTTAAAAAAAATATTCATCAAAAAGAAAAAATTCAAACAAATAAAATATGAGGGAATTTGACATACGGGTGTGCACGAGAAACGCGACAGAGTTCACAATAAAATTTATCAGGAACTGGTGGGATGCCTTCTGCAGGTTTCTCTGGAATAATAACGCAACTGATGTGTTGCCACACATGGCATCTTGGATCATCACACTGAAATATGATGAGGAAAATTAAAATTCCAAAATTATCATATGTAAGCAACATATGGAGCTCTAATGAAAAGTGCATGTGATCATCAAAAAACTGGAGGAGATCATAAATTGGCTGAATAAATAGAATCTGCATGTACGGATGCTTATAATTGTCTCTATCATAAAGAAGGAAACATATTTAATGGTAAACCTTGACCAAATCCTCTGTTTCCAATCTACTTCCACATAGACAGCGAATCTTTGCATCTGGTTGAAAGGAATCATCAAATTCACCTTTAACTTTTACATCAAATTCGCCTTTAACTTTTACACTACTGCTATCTGATGCACCCTGCCCCTTGGATGCTAGATCAGTGGCCCCAGATATCTGCATTTTCCTGGGTAAAAGGAGATACAAGAACGCCAATAAAGATAACAAAGCTAACGACAAGAAACACAGCATATATGAAGCAGTATAATCAACTTAAACCAGACCTAATAGTAAGGTGCCAGATCATTTATGTGAACTCAGCCAAGTAAGTTACGTCACTGCATGCATCTGAACCATACCAAAGCTAGAAGAAAATATTATCAAGAGTGTTGTTGCTAACACTGACCTATATGTATCATCCACTAATTTGGCCACCTGTTCTTTTCCAACAGCATTCTTCTTAGCCCACATTTTCGAAACTGGGAAAAAGAGCAACAAGTTGCTTAGTTAACAGGAAAAAAGGAGGAAGAAACACAGGAAAGAAGATTCCATGTATTATAATCACAAAATTAAATTAGATGCACAATAATCCAAATGCATTATGATCCAATGAACTATGCCCACAAAATGTCCTATCATTTCCAGAAAAGATAGAACATGGCAAGCCAGCTTCTAACATAAAAAGTTAGAGAAGAGGGAAATAACAGATATTTGGGATACAAATGCATGCCAGGAAAAAAAAAGCAGCTCAAGTTTATCAATCTACAAGGAGAGTTTACTTACATTGAAGCAAATGAAAAAAACATATGCCCTTATTTCAAGAATTCCATTTAAACTATCATTACAATTACTATGATTGACAATTTCAACATGTTGATAGACAAATGGAAAAATTTGCAGCTATGCTCAGTTTAGTTAAGAATTCAAATATTAAATTCCATACACATTGCCATATGTGAACATTGTCTAAAGTCTAAACTTCCAGTATATAGTCATGATGACAGCTCAAACAGAAACATTGTGAAAATAAAACAAATGGATATGATAGAATACCCAAATACTGAGTAATGTGTCTATGCATGTATACAATTTTACCTTGTTCATCTGAGAGAACGGATAATATGCGATCAACAAGATCCTACAAAAGATGAACACACTGACATCAATATATCGTCCAAAACCTCGAAGACATCATACTAAATTCAGGATTAAAAAGGAAACAATACATGGAGTCCAAACCAAAGATATTACAACAATGAAATGAAACTTCATGTCATAAATTGACTATATTCATCCATTTTAAGAGTTGCAAACTCGTATTATCAAGCAATAAGTATGATGTTTAATCATACAAGATCCATATATAATAATCCACATTGTATGTTACATGATGAGAAAACTCAGGAAAAAATGATTAACTAATTAAGGAAGAAACAGTGATTCTCATGGTCAACAAAACAGTAATCAGGCAATAAATTACATTCAGCACTCAAGGTTTTGCCATTGAAAAAGCCTCACAAATAACAATGACAAACTTGGTAATAGTTTTATTATCTCACCTGCTTCTTTCCCTGCTTTGAAAGTTGTAACTGAGTGAGCACATCTTTTAGCTCTTTTATACGGAAATAGTTCAATTTTTCCTACAAGAGATGTCAAAAAATCAGGAAAGTAGAATAGCACACCCCTCGATTAATACAACAGTGCACCAAACCCAATATTAAAATAAATAAAATATGCCTCTGATCCATATTCCACAGTGCAGGCTGATCAAAATCCAATAACAAAAGTACCCAGCCATCCAATCACATTGCCCACAAAGTACCAAATCATAACATAATCACAATATAAATAACATCAGCAGTAACAATCACACAAAAAATAAAACCAGTACTGAACACCGTAATTAACATTTAAGCATTAAGATACACAAAATAAATAAATAAATAAATAAATACTACAAATCCAACCGATCAAACCAGGCACACACTATAGTTTTCCAGTAAAAAAGGTCGTGCAAGCAAATCAAATTTCAATTAAACATAAACAATTTCCTTGCTCTTCCAGCCGGTTTAATCCCTAAACCTCAAGCACTGATGATCACCATAAAAATCGTATGCGTTTTCTGCATCAATAGCAAAGTCAATTCGCGACTCATGCAGAATTAACGAGTTACAAGGAATCCATCCCTATTTATTCATAAGTCAATTGAGAAGGCGTGTTAGAGTGCGTAAAGTGGAAATTGAAGGACCCACAGTATACCTTGATGCTTGTTGCCAAATCCATGTGGTAAAACCCAACAATTCGGACAAAAAGGAATCGAGAAGCGGAGAATCGAGGAGTAAGTTAGCGGATTCTGGGACGGTCTAATCGATTGAATGGAATGAAGAAGTGAATTAGGAGATTGGAAATGAAGAAAGAATAGGTGAATTAGGAATGAGTGAGGGTTGGTGGAGGCGATTAGGGTTTGAGGAGAGGAAGCTGGACACGGTATTGTTAGCGTTGTGTTGGGGGTGGCTTGCTTTGCGTGTTCTTTTGACCGACGAGACTCAAAACCAGAACCAATCTCTCTCCTCTCCACTTACAAAATTCGGACCTATCGCCGATTATCCAATTCGGTTTTTTCTGCGGTGACACATCCGGGTTCGGTTCCGGTGCGCTCACCCCTACGTCAAGGTTAAATATTCAATAATTATTAGCTGCTATTGACCGGAATTGGGAAAACCTGTTATATAACACAATTAGTCATAGGTTAGACAAAGTTTATAACTTGTTGTATAAATTAAGGCATAAATTTAATTTATTATAGATGTTTTTATAAATTTGATTGATCTTTTTTAAAAGTAATAATTTACTTTTAAATAATTTAATAAATATATTTTTAAATATGTGTGAGAGTCTTTTTTTTTAATTTGTATGATGAAATACTAATTAATTCTATAATTATTAAACATTCAATTTAAAATAAAATAAATTAATTTAAAAAAATCAATTCATGTATACTCATGCACATTGAAAGAAAATGATTGATATGTTGACAATTTATTTTTTAAAAATATTTCTAATATCTCATTTAGAATATTCTAAATAATTAATCACACAAATAAAGAAAAAAGTGAATAAAGATGTGACTGTTAGATTTTTTATTTTTTATTTCTTCATTTTGTATAAATAAAAGATATAAAACATTTTAATAATGAAAATATTTAAAATATTAATAATTTAATTATTTGTATTATAAATTTATTTATTTAATTATATTTTTAATAATAATATGTATATTATTTTTTTTATTATCTCATATAAATAAATAGATCAATTTATCAAGTTTAATAAAAAAATTTATAAGTTTATATCTAACTTTATAAAAAAAAAAATTCTTTTTTAAAAGTGTATATCTAACATTTTTATTAAGTTAAGTCAGATTATATTTTAAACTGATTAGATCATAAATTCATATTTAAGACTGACTTATTCCTATTTCTGAATACAAATATAAAAAAAATATAACAATAAAGAAAAAATAAATAAATAGAAATAAGTAAAATAAAATAAAAATAAAGTAATATTTTTTATTAACAAGAAAGATTAGAATAGAGTAATGAAGATTATTAGTTTTATTTATAAATTTGAAGTTAAAAATATTAGTTTATTGTATTTAAAAATAATATATACAAAAATATTGTTTTTGAAAATGAATATTTTTCATGAAATTATTTTTATGATGATAAAATCTAATTTTTCAAATTAAAAAGTATTTTTTACTATTAAAAATAATACATTACTTTAAAAACTCATTTAATATGGACCGATGACTCCACCAGATTTTAAAAAAATTATTTAATATAATAAAAAATTAAAATTATGTGAAAATTTGTTTAAAACTAAATGTAAAATCATATAATTCTTGGAAAAACATACAAAAATATATTTTAATCTTTTAGACCTTCCAGGAGATTAAAAGAATTATAATTACCTTCTGAAAATCATGGTTCTGAAATATTCTTAGACATGAAAAAGTTTTACTAAATATTCTCTAAAAGTTAGGTTCATGGTTTTTTAATAAAAAAAATGAGTTAAACAAAACCAGTGGATTTAAGCTATTAATTAAAAAAAAAAGGAAAAATGAGCCCAACATAAATAGTGGAAGACATTCAGCCCATTATTCATTTTTTTAGTGCGAATGATGTCATCATTTCATATTCATTTGTCTGTTTCCTCACCAAGAAAAAGGAAAAGAAAAATACTTCAACCAAAGACAAATAAGTTTTCTTGAACAAAGGGCAAACTACGATGGGCAAAATCATAATAAAAACAAAAAACAAAAATGTTTTTCATTTTAGCGTACCATTGCACCTTGTAACTTTGTATCCACTGTTTCCCTTGACAAGACATGGATTCTATAGCTGAAACTGATAGAACTTTGTAGTCCTCTCTCTTTCTCTCTCCACACTCATTGCTACTTTTGTGCGTTTTTTATGTCTCTGCACAGAGTTTAAGGTTTCTTGCAGTATCCAAACTGTGTACGATAATTTCGTACATTCATCGTAAACTTGTATATTTTGGTCTTGATCCCTAAATTTGGTTTGATGTTTAGGTGACAGTATGTAACAAGATCCTCTCTGGTTGCCATCAAATACAGAGATGGGATTCTCATGGCTGCTCATATGGGAGGTCTGTTAAGTGTGTAGTCTAAGTTTTAAAATTGAAGTAGTCCTACATTGTTTAGTTTAACTTACTTATTAAGTCCCACATCACTTAGTTTGTACTCAACATTTAATCCTACTCTACATATCAACTTCAACTTATAAACCATATATCATCATACCAACATCTCAACAACTTATAACACCACAACAATATCATCATAACATTTCTAAACAATTAATGTGTTGTCATGCATATCAACTATGGAGATCTTCTACCATAGAGGTGAGCAGTCCAAATGGTTAAACTCTATCGAATGACAATATTTGGCCTATCGCAATCAAGTCAAGCATAAACAATCTTAGGCCTCAAAAAGTGTTAGATTTACAACTTAAATTTGATTTATCAGGTTTTGTCACTTAAAATTATGAAGTCTAGTATTATTGTCAGAGTAGAACAATTTAGGTATGAGTCTACCACAATATTAGCTTGCAACACTAAATCTCCTATATGATTAGTCCATCAATTATCCTTCAAATACTATGCCCTTTCAATACTCAGTTAGGGACTAAGTCCCCAACCTTACATTATACTTGATTGATCATTTTATACACATATGTCTCGACTTTGCCTATATACGGATTCCATATAAAACCTAAAGGAGACAACTTAAAACAACTACCTATTTAGTAACTTGCTTGCTTACTAAAGAGTTTTCAACTGGGCTCTTATAGTGTTATAACTTATATTCACACAATGAGATATTTTAATTTCTAAAACAACTATTACTCTCTTATAGTTTTTATGTGTCTCAATAAAGACATGTATCTATACCATATGTCTAACAACTTAACAACTAAATCAACTATAGCATCATACAACTATACAACATCATCATCTATCAACTTACAACTTAACAACATAAACATCATTAAATAGTTTATCAACTCAAAACATAATGAGTATCATCATACCATCTTCATCATACAATTTAATCATCATCATTTAATCATAAAACAACTTAAAACTTCATATTATAATCAAGCAACTTGTGCCCACCATCCCTTAGGTGCCTAGCACCATTAAGACAGAGGGTTTCCTTATGCTCGATATTATTCAAACCCATGCCCAATGTAACCAAGTTAGAGATGATTATCTTTCCTCACATTTGATACCACCAATCTTGCACCCAATGCTAAGAGAATGAAAACCCTTGACTTCAAACCATGCCCGATGTCATGAAGGCGTACCCAATGTGATACTAGTTTTTGCACTTATGTAGAAACTCGACTAGCCCAATCTACATGAAATTCAACCAAAATCCAACATGCATTACAACATACAACATCTACACAACATGTAAAACACAATTTCATCCTCAGAAACAACATGCATCTATCAAAATCCAAGAATCAACACATTATACTCAAAACACCTTCAATTAACTCAACTATAACCAAATTATCACCCTCATGAATCCAATAAATATCAACTACACTTAAGTGATTATGGGCAATAGTAAACACCATGCATCAACAATTGTTCAAAAATACAAAGTTTTCCTTACTTTTTGTCGACCCAAACTGAGAAGAGAAAAAGATAAGAAATGAACTTCGTACAACCTCTGACTTGAGATTTCCAACTCTTGAAGCTTGAAATCTCCATCTTGCCAAGTGAATTGGCTACAAGAAGGACGAAAGGAAAGACTTTCAGTTTAGAAGAAGGATAAAAAAGTTTGAGTTCAAAGAACTTCTCTCCAATTTCTCTATGAAATTTCATAAAATATGAACTTACGAGGTTCACATCTTAAGAAAAATCTTATATATCCTTTTTGGGGTTGAACTGACTTAACTCTGCATCCACTACCACAATGATAATTTAACTCTTAGAGTCCTTTAACTCAAAAGTTCTCAAACAACAACACTACAACAACTTACAACTAATCATATAATTAAATTAAAAATATCTAAAACTCACAGTGTTACAATCTACTTTATACTCATATATGAATTGATTTTTCAAAAAATCAAATTGAATCAATCCTGACATGCACGAGGGTACTCCAGTAATTTTGCTACTCCTGCTGGGTCTTCGTCTTCCATGATGTATCCTAAGGAAAGAGAGGGGTACCTGAAAAAGGCACTCCAATGCTTAAGTCAGTCCTCAGTCTCAGAGATATCAATGCTAATTAACTGGTAATTATGAAAACGTACCTTTATAATCAGTCGTTGATTACACTTATTTATACTAACCTTAATGGATTTAGGCTCATAACCAAGCCCATTAGGATCCAATAATCTTGGTATGTGTAGAGTGATTTAGACTCTTGTAAACTGCGCACTCCTTAAAATATCTATGTTGAAGATTCTCCTATTTCCTCTTATGGTACTTTGGTCTTATCTATATCCGGTATGCCTAGTAAATTCAAATGTAGTATTTTTTTTAGAGATATAAATATCATACTACCTTAATCTTTTGTGTTGAAAAATTATATTCTCTTGACAAATTTGAATATATGACACACTTCTTTCTTTTTATAAATTTTTTGTTAAAGTTATGTTGCTTTTGTTTAGAAAAATATTACCAAAATATTTTTCTAAACTACCTCATTCTCAAAATTGTAATTATTGTGCTACTCTCCCTCCTCGAGTTAAAAAATTAAAATACTCATTTAGTCTTTAATTATTATTTTAAAAATTATTATAAATTATGTTAAAAATATTGATCATAAGAATTATAATAACGGCAATAAAATTTGAACTTATGACTATACATACTCTCCACCATTAAATTCACATTTGTGGTGAGTTAATTTTAAATTATTTATTTTAATTATTAATTTTGAAAAATATTTTTAAAAATAATCAAATTAAAATAATAAATACATATGAGTAAAATAAAATCAATAATCTTAAAATAGTTGTGATTTTAATCCTAAACTTTTGAGATTAAAAACATTAATTTATCTATCTATATATATATATATATTATCACATCATTTTTATTTTTCAATTATTACTTTGATAAATTTTTCTTATGTATTTTAAAATTTTTATTGAGTGAAGAAGTAAATGATAACTTAGCAAATTAAAGACATTTTAGTATATATTTTAATATTTTATAATGAATGTTTTTAGAGATATTAAATTAAAATATAATAAATTATATATTTTAGCATAAAAGAGATAAAGATAATATTTATATTTATCCTAAAAAGAAAGTGTAATTTATTTTGCATTTGACATGTAAAATAAAAGTAATGTAATGTTTGCATATTTTACAAAGACGAGAGTGTAATTTAGTTTAATAATACTAAATAAAATAAAATGAATTATATATTTGAACACAATGTTAGCAATTTATTCTTTGTCATTAATTAAAATTTAATGAAAACAACAAAATTAAAATAGAGGTATCAAAAATATGTGGGGCCCACAAACTGTTGTAATTTGTAAAAAGAAATTGATTGATAAGATAATGTGCTTCAAAATAGTGTGTTGTTTACACTTCTCTTTCAACATAAAAGGGGAGTATATTTCTAGTTTTGTCCAAAATAATTTATAAAAAAAAGGAAAAATAATTGCTCCAAAATATTTGTCATTTTAACTTTTAAAATAGTAATTTTTTTCATTTATATCCTTTATATTATTTTTAAAATACGATTTTTGTGATGCATTGTTTTTATTAAATAAGGTTAATTTTATAAATTATCATTATCATTTGACTATTTATTACTTTTTCTTAATTTACATAAAACACAAAAAATTAACAATTATTTTGTCACGACGAATAGAGTATAATATTTGCATCTCTTAGAATATACTTTTTTTTTTT